ACAACATCTTTGTTGGTATGTGGTGCTGAGGATCGAACCCGGGCCGCACGCATGCCAGGCGAGCGCGCTACCGCTTGAGCCAAATCCCCAGCCCTCTCATATCTTTCAACTACTCCCCAAGCTCCATAAAGGCAGGCGTGCAAATTTTGTCACTATAATAATCTCCAACATCCAACATTAGGTTTGGAGAAACAAAGATATTTTAAAATGTATACCTGACCATAGTTATTCCCCATCATGCTTTGTTTCTTTTTTAAAATATATTTTTGTTTTTATTTGACACATAGTAATTTACATATTTATGAATTAGAATGACAACTCAATACATGTACCCAATGTTATGATCAAATCATGGCAAATGGCAAATCCATTACCTCAGACATTTATCATTTCTTTGTGTTAGAAACATTCAAAATTCTACTAGTTATTTTGAAATATTCAACCACAATTACCCAATGATGCAGTTTCATTTTCTTCACAGATCTGAAATTTCCTCACATACTTATTTAATATTAAGTATAAAGTTAATATTTAGGCACTTATCATAGCACTTTTCATACATTAATTAATGAAGTGGTAAGCTGTTAATGCTTATCAATGTGCTCTTTAAATCTCAAATCTCTGATTTGTAGTATTTGCTGATTTCTCTGGTGTAAACACTCCCACCTGGAGGGATTTCAAACTAACAACCTGAAGTAACTCACCTGATTTGAGAAGAGTAATAGCACTTCACTATAGCACCCATATGGTAGTGTTAAGTAACCTCAAGAACATCAATGAGGTGGAGGTTTTGGCTCAGTGGTAGAGCTCTTGCCTTGCACGTGTGAGGTACCGGATTCGATACCCAGCACCACATATAAATAAATCAATAAAATAAAGTTTTCTGTCCATCTATAATTAAAATTAAAAAAATATTGAATAAGAACGCGGATGAAAAAGTATATAGTAAAACTATTCAGAAGTAACGAGTGTAGACTATTTATTCCCTTGTTTTCAATGTAATTTAGTTTGCTAAGTTTATACCATTTCATTTTCAATAATGGCTGTGTTTTAAAAAGCAACTGGCAAAATTTCTAAACATTCTTCAGCCGTCTCTAGTGAGTCTGCAACCAGCAGAGTTTTCAGATGAGGGTTCTGAGGCACAGAAAGGTTAAGCAGCCGTTGAAGGTCGTGCAGGATGTTGTCCGCTACTATCAATACTACTACTCATACAGCGACTGTCCGATAGCTGGCGTTCAATAAGCAATTGCAGAATAAGTAAAATAAATTTTAACATTCTTGTAAAACAAAAAAAAAAGTAGATGTTTTAACATAAAACATACACACAAGGGTGAAATTAACATCTCTTCAAAACTTGTTCACAATCCCAGGACGGTAACTTTCCTCTTGGCCTGAGAAGTTTTACAATTCACCTGTGATCGTAGGGCGTCGGTCAAACACTTGCTCCAAATTTGATACGCCCCGCTGTCCGTCGTCCGGCCCTTCCCACCGCAGGGCTTCCTGGGAGTCGTAGTTCCAAGGTCTGGAAGCTCCCGCAGCAGCAGCGGCGCGCTCCCAGTCGCGGAACTACAGACGGTGGTGCGCAGATCGCCAGGCTCTTCCGTCTCGCCTTTTCCTTCCCGCCTGCGCGCCCGCCCCAGATATCATGGCGGCTCCCTTGGCCCTGGTGCTGGTGGTGGCCGTGACTGTGCGGGCGGCCTTGTTCCGCTCCAGTCTGGCCGAGTTCATTTCCGAGCGGGTGGAGGTGGTATCCCCACTGAGCTCTTGGAAGAGAGGTGAGTCCGCTGGCTCGAATGGGCGGCCAGACCCGGCCCGAGCTTATCACGGCCTCTGTGAATGGGAGGCGGGTGGGAAGTGACCGCACGGTTCTCAGGAAATTGACCTGCTCAGGGGGTCTTTGGAGATGTGAGGGCGCTCCTGTGGAGCGGAGGGGATGTGCGGGAGGTGGTATAAGGTTTGGGCTCAAGAGGCTGGACCACTCTAGAGGTGGGTATCTGAGGGGGCGTGCCCTACTCGCTGTTGTGAGCCCAAGGACGTGATCCGTAGAAGGGTTAGGATAAGAGAAGAGGATTCTGTGTGGAGCAGAATTTGTGAAGAGCGTCCGAGTTTGGAGCGGGATCACTAGTAGTGACCCAGTGTAGCGGAGGGGATGGGGGACCCGAATGAGGGGACCAGTCTCTTAGTGGGAAGAGCGTCTGTAGATGTCCTTAGTCGCCTCTGACCAGTCAAGGACCTTAGTGCGTTTTTCCTGCTGTTTCTTCTTATTTCTGTAAGTTATTCATCAAACTTTGTTTTATACTAGTGGCTACAAGGAGACTCAGAAATTGGGCTGAAGGAGCCACAGGCAAAGTGTCTTCCCATTTCTTTACTTAGTGTTCTAGCCTTGAATAAACTGCCTCTCCTTTTCCAATTTCCTAAGGATGGAAGATTTGCGTTGACTCTTGAAGGACGTAGGGTTTGCCAAAGATTAGAGAAAAGGAGAGTTCCAGGTAGCAGAATTTAAACAGAATCAAGAAATGTTCAAGGATGTGAAATGTCCAAAATGGGAAAGTAAGGAGGGGAAAGTAAGTAAGAAAGTAAGTAAGGTTGGGGCCAGAGTTTGATAATTAAAAGGTAAAGATTTTTTTTTTTTACTAAAGTAAAATAAACATACAGCATACAAATTATAAGTGTAGATAGAGCTCAGTGAATTTTTATGACCGTGTACAGCATGTAGCCAGCACTCCAGAATTCCCTTCCTCTCCTAGAATTTTATTTTTTTTAAAATTTTTTCCTTATATTTATTTTTAGGTGTAGATGGACACAACACAATGCCTTTATTTTTGTGTGGTGCTGAGGATCCAACTGGTTCTCGCCCGTGCTAGGCAAGCGCTCTACCGCTGAGCCACAATCTTAGCCCCAGTGCCTTTATTTTATTTGTTGATTTTTATGTAGTGCTGAGGATTGAACCCAGTGCCTCATGCACGCTAGGCAAGTGCTCTGCTGCTGAGCTACAGCCCCAGCCCTAGAATTTTAAGATATAGAGTTTTGATGTTTTGATGTTACACCATAGACATTTTGGAATGGAGAATGGTAAAATGAATGAGTGTTTTAGGAATAGCATTGAAGTTCCTAAAAATACTTAGTATGTATCAAGGACTATGGTAAGCCTTTTATGTGCCTTTTCTCATTTAGTCTTCACAGTAATTCTATGGTGTAGATGGTATTATTTCCCCCATTTTACATATGAGGAAACTTGAAATTGAAACAAGTAATCTGCCTAAGTTTCCCAGTTGGTGAATGGTGATAAAGATGGTTATAGTTCATACCTGAGATGGAAAAAACTTGGGTTTGTTATCTTTGCATGTAATTTTTGTTGAACTGAATTGAATCCTGCTTTCTTTTGGATACCAGAACACCCTTCTTCTGCAATCTTAACCCTTTACACATATTCTTATTAAGAGTATTTCTCATCTTATGTTATAATTATTTGTTTCTTTTTGATTTTCCCTCCACTGTGAGCTTCTTCAACGACGTTGTTTTATTCCTGCCTAAGTTCATTGGTGTTTGGCCTAGAGCAGGTGCATAGTTAATGTTGAATAAGTATGGAAGAAAATATAGCATTAAATTTGTTATTTTATAGGATAGGCAGATTAAAGGATCCAAAGATGAGGCATTGTTGTGTGGTGCTTAAAAGCATAGGTTCTGAAATCTCGGGAAGGGTCTTTCTCTGGCTTGCCATTTACTAGCCATGTGATTTCCTTCTTTTCCTGTCTCTCCTTCCTTCCTTCCTTCCTGGGGGTTGAACCCAGAGGTGCTATACCACTGAATCATATCCCCAGCTCTTTTTTATATATTTTTAAAAATTTTGAAACAGGATTTAAGTTGCCCAGGCTATCCTGGTTTTTCCTACATTGGTCTCTTGAGTAGCTGGGTTTATAGGCATGGGCCACCACACCTAACTAGCTCTATAAAATAGGAAGTTAAATGAAATAATCCATGTTGAAATTCAGCATGATGATGAAAGCCAAAAAGTTTAATTCTGAGCTTTTAAGTTTAGATACTATGAAGAATCAGTGCTGACATTGGCAGAAAGGAAAGAGCAGTTAAGTGTTTGTGTAAAATTCAGAGGTTAGGTCTGGAGCTTGTGGCCAGTGGCAGGGCTAGAGGACGAAAGATTTAGTAATCACCCATCATTTAGATCTGATTAAGTCAGGATTATTATTTGTCTTATTTTAGGGGAGGGTACAATATCTGTAAGTATCATTTGTCTTCAAAGTATACTTTAAATGGGATAGCTTAAACCCTAAAAGGCAGGCATTTCAAAATACCAAAGCCCTTTTGGTTTCACCATGTCTTTGACCAGTTCTTTGAAAGGGCCTTGGATCCAAATAGATTTTGGTTGGCTGTAATATGGGCTAATTTTTTAAAAATGAGAACAAGTGAGAAGTTGTATACTTGGAGGGGATGATTGTTATCTTTAAACATCTGAAGGGTTTTAAGTCAGTATATTATTAATTCTTTCACATGCAGATGACAGAATCCCAACGCAAACTGGCCAGATTGCAATAAAAAAGGAATTTATTGGCCTTCATAACTGAACAGCCCAAGGATAGACCTGACTTCAGGCCTAACTGGATCCAGCATTGGCTACGTTCAGACAGGTTTTTCCAAGGTGTTGGCAAGAGTGGCCACTGACTTTATATCCTCTCAGTTTCAAGTCAATTGAAAAGAGAGTGACTCTTCATTGAACACAACAAAAGCCTTGGAATTGAATCACATTGAACTGATTTGGGTCATATACCCATCCTTCAACCAGTTGCTGTGGTCAGCCTGATTCATAGAAAGGAGGCAGCCTCACCCAAAACAGGAAGTACCCTATAAGGAAAATTAGGGTGCTGTTTCCAGAAGAGGGGAAAATTGAGACTAGGCAGGAAAGATAACAGATATTTATTAAAATAGAAAAGAGATCTTTTCTCTTACCCATTTCTATAAACCCATCAGTTTGATAGTATAACTAAACAAAAAATGTATATACGAATTTCCTTTTTTATGAGATATAAGCACTAGCTTCTCAGTCTAATACAAATAATAAGGATTTACATTGATATAATGCCTCCTGCATGTCAGGCAGTGTTCTAAGCATGTTAGTTATATTAATAAACAACTCTAAAATCACCCATGATGCCAATACTGTTATTTAGCCCATTTTATAGATGAGAAAATTTATTTATTTATTTTTAATATTTATTTATTTTTTAGTTATTGGCGGACACAGCATCTTTGTTTTTGTATGTGATGCTGAGGATCAAACCTGGGCCGCATGCATGCCAGGCAAGCGCGCTTCCACTTGAGCCACATCCCCAGCCCTAGATGAGAAAATTTAGGTACAGATTAAATCACTCGCCTAAGATCATATAGCTAATAATATGTGCCCCCATCACCAGCCCCCAAAACTGTTATTGAACCCAGGGGTGCTTTACCACTGAGCCACATCCTTAACCCTTTCTATTTTTTTGAGTGTGTGGGGGGAGGATACTGGGGATTGAACTCAGGGGCACTTGACCACTGAGCCACATCCCCTCCCCTATTTTGTATTTTATTTTTCGACAAGGTCTCACTGAGTTGCTTAGCGCCTTGCTTTTGCTGAGGCTGGCTTTGAACTCGTGATCCTCCTGCCTCAGCCTCCTGAGCCACAAGGATTACAGGCATGCACTATCATGCCCAGCTATCCTTTCTATTTTTTTTTTTTTTTAAGAAACTATTTAGGGCTGGGGATGTGGCTCAAGCGGTAGCGCACTCGCCTGGCATGCGTGTGGCCCGGGTTCGATCCTCAGCACCACATACCAACAAAGATGTTGTGTCCGCCGAGAACTAAAAAATAAATATTAAAAATTCTTCTCTCTCCTCTCCCTCTCTCACTCTCTCTTTATAAAAAAAAAAAGAAAAGAAAATATTGAAAATTTATTTAGGTTAAAGAAGACCTATGTCAATGAAAAGTTGCACATGTTCACACATCAAAATGATAATAATATCGAGGAAATAATACCATATATACCCATAGATTCAAGTCATTTCATACCAAAATGTGCATATCTACAGTCAGTTGATTCTGACATTTATCCCAGGACAATTCAGTCAGGGAAAGAGGTATCTTCCAGACATGGTGCTGGGACAAGAGAGCACTGATAGGCATACAAATGAAATGGGGCCACTTCATTATAACATACAGAAAGATTGTTTCAAAATGCACCATAGACCTAAATGTGAAGCTAAAAATAAACCTTTGCTGTAAAATGAAAGAGTAAATATTCTTAATTGTGGGCTTGACAGACTACTTAGACATTACATAAGTAACAAAGGAAATAATGTGGCTATCATCAAAATTAAACAATTTTGAGTCACAAAACCCTACATTGAGAAAATGAAAATATAACCTCCAAAATTAGAGTAAATATTTGCAAATTGTATATACCCAATAAGGAAATTAGAATATATTTAAATATATAATTAAAATATAAATAAAGACCTGTTATAAATCAATAATAAAAGATAACTCAGATGAAAATTTGGCAATGAGTGAGTCTACATTGACAGTATTTCAAAGAAAATTAAAAAGTAGCCAATGAACATGAAAAATACTCAAATCCAGTAGCAAATCAAAACACAACAAGATACTACTTTAAGTCAAAGTGAACAGTTATAATCAAGAAGAAATTGAATCTCAAGTGTTGGTGAGGATGTTGAAAAATTAAAACCCTGATACCTTTCTGGTTGAAACGAGAGAATGCAGTCA